GCATGGTAGTCTGGCACCTTGCTGGTGCCTCTCTACAACCCCAGTGAGAGATTTGTCGTGCCCCTCACTTAGGAACACTGCGGCAAAGAACTCGTTGAGGAGTTCAGCCTTGTCCCCTCTGTCCGTCACCAGTTGTTTCTGCCCATTTAGCAGGGGTCCTATTCCTCCCTGGTCCTTCCTTTTACTCCCAGTATATCTAAAAAACAATTTCTTGTTGTCTTTTACTTGGGTTGCCATCCTCAGCTCCATGGCAGCTTTGGCCCGTCTAACTGCCTCCCTACAAGCACGAGCAGAGGAGGTATATTCATCTTTGGTGATCTCTCCCTGTTTCCACTTTTTATGTGCTCCCCTTTTGTCCCTTAGGCTGCCCTGGATTTCTCTGGTCAGCCAGGGAAGCCTCCTGGCCCCTTCCCCCTTTTGCCTTGCTCGGGGATCGTCTTGCTTTGTGCCCGAAGGATCATTTCCTTAAGGCACAGCCACCCTTCTTGGGCTCCCATCACTTCAAAACTCCTACTCTGCAGTACGTCCTTGACTAATCGCCTGAGTTCATTGAAATCAGCTTTCCTAAAGTCTAGCACTTTCACCCTACTATCTAGTCTAGCTACTTTCACATCTACTATAACATATTTTAATTTTATTTAAAAAATAATTTTAATCCTGATTTATGGTTTTTTGAGTGGCAAATATAAAGGCGATTGCATAGTAGCTCAAAATAAAGTCTTACTTGTATATTTTGGGAAGCATGTGGGGGGCGGGTGTGGGAGGGAGTGTGGGGAGGTGGGGTGTGTGGGTAGTTGGGTATGTGTGTAAGGAAGGGGTGCACATGTGTGTTTGGGGGTGCTGCTTACGTGCTAGGTCCCGGGAACCAGCCGGGCATGCAGTGCAGGGGCATGTGCAGCCAAGCTCACCCAGGCAGTTCAGGTGTGATCCACAGCCCCCACCTTCCTAATCTGCAGCTGCCCTCACAGTTCTTTGCATGGGGCCGAGCTCTGCCCACTGCTCCAGGTGAGCAGAGTGGGTGGAAGGTGGCTGGGAGCTGGAACTAGAGCCCGATGCACTGGGACAGGAGCCACCCAGCTGTAGCTCTGCCCCCTTTCCTGGAGAAGTGCAGCAGGGGCAGAAGGAAGAGAAGTTGCTGGAGGTACGGGGAGCTGAGCAGTGCCCAGTGGGCTACAGCTGAACCAATAACAGCCCTGCTGGGAAGCTGTGCACACTGACTAAATCCAGGGCCAGTGGGTGCGGGCAGTAGCAGGTGAGACTCAGTTTAGCTCAGCTCCATGCAGAGTGCCATGGGGGTAGCTGTGGGCTGATTCCAATCAAATGATGGGTGCCCACCTACAGGCTGAATCCAATCAGTTGGCTAACCAGATCTGGCCCATGGGCTATATTTTGCCCACCCTTGGATTAATGCCAGAACCTGTCTGAAACATTAGTTATAAACTGGTATGTTTTGGTAAAATCCATGCTGATTTCTGCAGCAAAAAGCCTCCCAGCAAAAATATAGATCCCTGCCTAAAGTAGCTGACAGTGGACTATCATCAGGCATTTATACACATGCTCCAGGAGTGGGGTGGGGGCACTTTAATTAGAGCGGGTCCAAGAGCTGCTCTAATTAAAGTGCCCAGAGCATCCCCACACTGGAAAATGGCAGTGGAGGTACTTTAATGGCCCCTGCCATTTTTCAGTGTGGGGACGCTAATAAATGAGATGCTGGAGTCTGCTGTAGTGTGGAAATTACCACGCTCCAGCAAACTTGATTAACTGAGTCTGCTCGGATGCACTATAATTACAGCGTGTCAGAGCAGCCTCACTACATGTGTATAGGTGCCTATCTATACTACCATATCATACATGCTGCAAGAAGGCATTCAGAAGCTGCAGAGGGAAGATGATAATTAAGTTAAGGAGTTACTCAGCAAAGCCAGGGGCACCACATGGGTAGAATATTTCCAGTACTTTTAAGCTTCAATTTTATCTAACACAGAGGTCTGAGTTGACCTTGCATCAGACTGCACTGTACAGAGCAGTGTGGATGTGGGGACAGCAGTTGTATGATGAAAAGCTAGGCTGGGAAGGTCAGCTGAGAAAAAAAGCTTCAAGGTATTTATGGGAGATATGGCTGAACAGTACTTTAGGGCTGGCAGAAGAGAGTGGGTGAAAGCTGATGTAAGGTATAATCATATAAATAGGAAAGAACAGAGTTACAGGGGCCTGGGAGGTGAAGGAGAGCAGGTGAAATAAGAGTTGTTGGTAGATGCCAACAAAGAAAGGTGCCTTACACAGCCTGAGCAATGGCCCAGAAAAATGATCTTAGTGCATATACTCTGAAGAGAACAGAGTGGGAAATGTTGGCAGCAAGGATATAATCAAAGCCTAGAGGACAATTTTTGGTGAATGAATATCAGAGTGAGATAGGTTTTTGAGTTGTCTGCACAGGGGCAGGAGCTGGAGATTGCCCTGAGGACCAGAGAAGAGAGGGCAAAAAACAGAGCCCTGTAGAATCCTTCTAGAGAGAGAGTGAAATAAGGAGGATATCCCCTATATCCATCAAGGTAGGGGGATAATGCTACATAGGTTGGGAGCTGGACAGCATGCAAACAAAGCAAATGGTATATAAGTCCATGGAGAGATCATGAAGGGTGAGTCCTGGAACTATCTTCTGTTAATAGATTACCTTTTCATCTTCAGGTGATCTATTAACAGAATATGCAAAGGAGGCAGAGCTGCTCAATTACTACTTTGCCTCAGTCTTCATAAAAATGAGCTTCTAAACACAGCTAACAAAACTAATATAGACAAAAGTAAGGGATATGGATCATTAAAAAGAGCACAACAAATCTTTTGACAAATTCAAATTAAGTTAGCAGGAATTGATGAAATTCATCTTAGTGTTGAGGGAACTGGCTAAAGAAATTTGGAAGCCATTAGCAATAATATTTGTGAAGTCAAGGATGATAGGCACAGTCCCACAGAACTGGAGAAGGGTTAACACAGTACCCATCTTTAAGAAGGGGAAAGAGGAGTACATGGGTAATTATAGACCTGTGAGCCTGACCTCAGTGCCTATAAAGTTATTAGAGAAAATAGTAAAACAAGCAATTTATAAACACCTGGAGGATCACTACTAGTCAATGTCAGGATACAGGGGGTCGTGGGGAAAGGGACTTAATGGTGGGGGTCTACTACAGACCTCCCAACCAAGGGGAAGAGCTGGACTGCGAATTCTTGGGTCAGCTTCTGGAGGCACTTAAGGCAAGGGATGTAGTTGTCATGGGTGATCTAAATTACCCGG